ATGTTATGAGACTAAATTTTGTAATCAAGAAAAATTTTGAAAAATATATTTGGGCTTTCTTTGATATACGATTAAGATAAGTTTCTTTTTTATTTATTTTTTTATTTTATTTTTTTATGTTTGCACCCTCCCACCACCACAACTTCCAACAATTTCTTTAGATTTTTTCATTTTTAGAAACTAACAAATTTCAAATTATTTTTTTTTTTCTCTCCCAGAGTCTTTCTAATTTTCAAAGTTGAAATCTTTTTCTACAAATAGGTTTCCAATTCAATTTTCGTGGTCAACCTCCCTTCATCCACCCCTTTTTGATTAAGGGCAAGCAGGTAAATAATCCACGCACATTTCAGATGTTTACTAAGCTTGACTTTTACAAGGTCACAATAATAGTGTTTCCAATAAAAATTGAACTATTTAACAACGGCTTGCAAGATAAGCTCATTAAAACATGTCTGGTATTCCAAAAGGATATTTTTAAAAAATCCAATCTATATATCTATAGAATTTTTTTTTTTTCTTCAAGTAGTTTCTTAAATTTTGACTTAGATTTCTCCTACAAATTTACAGATGAAAATGAAGGTTTTTAAAATTTTATTTCCAATTTGACTATCAATTATAATTAAAAACATTATACTTCATCTAGTCTGGCACAAGGTTAGATTATGGTGTACACTGTGAAGATTGACAATGATTGATGACTGCTTTCTTGCAGTAACAGACAATGTTTATCTTCATAAATTAATTCTTAAATAAAACTTTGTTAGTAGATAAAAATAAGAATTCATTGAGGCTTTTCTCCCCACTCCTAAAATTGGCCATTTTTCTTTGGTTTTCTGTTTCATCATCCATTTACTTGTATGCCTTCATTTTTTTTTTTTTTTTTTTTTTACTTTGTTTTACTAAATCCATGGGGGTGGGGGTTAATGTCTGGTTTTTCCACTCCATCCATTCTACCCGATCCAGTCATTTTTCAGCTCTTTTCCTGCTCAACATTTCACACAGACCAAACGAGTATTCATCGTCATGCCAAACATAAATAATTTCTTGTCGCATTTCACTGATTATTTGTAATTCTATCGAGCACTTATCAAATAGCCCCATTTCAAGATGTTTCTCTATTTTGTTTTGTGGGTGTGCATCTCTAAAATGGGACCATCTGACACAGATTTGTCCAAGTATTTTTGTCATAGTTAAAATAACATTTCGTTTATCATTGTAGACTTGTGTTACTGCTAGATATTGGGTATACTTTTATTTTATAGGTAATTAATTTGGACTCTGAAAAAAAGCTTTATCTTAATCCATTTAACCTGCAAATTCATAACAAATTTTATCTTTTTTTGACACAATTATTTTGTATTTTGTTAAATTTCCATGTTAGTTTTAGCTTTGGCTGCATCTTTACTCAAAATATCTTGCAGGAAATCGTATTTTCAATTGCTACATAATTTATTTTGTTTTCTGATATGTATCAAAATTGTCAAGTCTTTTATTGAATAAATCTGTAAGACTGAATGTAGATGGTGTTTGTTATAATTGTATCGATTCTTGGTAGAAATACAAAAAGAATCCACTACAGTAACCATGTAAGTGAGGGTCAATTTATACCCAACATAACTAGTTATTTCTAGAAGTTTGGTGCCACAAAAGTTGCTAAATAACTTTTAAAACTTTTACTGATATTCCCCCCAAAAAAAAAAAAAAAAAAAAGGCCAGTAAAGAATTCATGCTTTTTTTTTTTTTTTTTTTTTAATTGTTTTCAATTTTGCATTTTCTTCAGATTTCTGTTAATTTGATTGGCTGAAATTATGGGAAGAGTAAATTATTATTCTACAAAGCTGAAAATTCTTACTGGTGTAACTTGTCTAAGAATAAATTAAAAAAAAAAAAAAAAATGTTTTAAAAACCAGTAATCTCTGGTTTTCAGACAATATTTCTTATGTTGATTCATGCTTCCATAATTGTAAGGTTCCCTCTTGCTTAAACAAACTTTAAAATGAATAAGTAAATGAGACTTGGTGCTACATGACCCATGTAAACGATAATTTACTAGACTATGAATAAATTTATATTTGTATAATTTAATTTTAGCTTCTTCATTAGTGTCTAAGTGGCTTTGTGCTGCTTATAGATGAGGCTATTTCCCCTCAGTGAATAATAAAAACAGGTTATATAATACCTTGTTTTTTGTTTTGTTCTTGTACACAAAATAGGATTGTGATTACATGTCAAAACCTTTTGAAATTAGCTTGCAAAATATGAATAAAAGTTTTTGAATATAAAAGTAATATTGTTTATAAAGACTGCATATTCAATTTCTGCCTTTTTTTATCTTCTAAAATTCAAAATCATGGGAAAGTTTATGGAGTTATTAATATTCAGCTTGCATTTTGACATACTACCTAAAAAAAAAAAAATGTCTAATATAACTGGGCATCTGTCAAGGTTGACAGTGGGTGTAACAGTTAACTCTTTACTATCACTAAAGCTTGAACATAAATGAGTGGTTTGCAGTCAGCCATTGTGTCATGCTTGTAAAAAGCCTTTTTTCTCTCCCCCCCCCCCCCCCCAGATAACTGGCAAGGACAGGGACATAGATTTCATGCCTTTCCAAACCATTCGTTCTAAGTGAATAAGATCTCTGTCAATTACTTTTAATTAAAATCTTGTTTCTTTTTTATGATTAAAGGAAAAAAGTAAACATTCACATTATCAGTAGCTGTTTTGTTTTTGTTCAAAAATCTTTCTATTCATCAATTTAAATAAAAAAAAAAAAAAGAACAAAAAATAATCAGTGGTTATATAAAAGTTGAGTCTGTAAACCTTGAATTCAATACCTTTTAAATGTGTGCTCTTTGTGCTATTGGTCAAAAAGTTCTCAGCCCAATACACTTCTCAAAATCAACATTCCCATTTTTGGGAAGTGGGTCAATAACTTTTCAATGTTCCCCTCCTCCCCGCTCTACTCTATATTTTCAGAGTTGAGCAGAAAAAAACAAAAAACTGATTTAATACTGTTAAGTGTATTTTGAATATTCTTTGTATTATGAATAAATATTTTTTTATTTTAAATGTCATTGTAAATGATAATCTGTTCTGAAAGACAAATCCTTTTTATGAATTGTTAGTTTTTTTTTTTTTTTTTTTTTTTTTTGTAGTTTTTTGTTCTCGACAAAAAACACCTAAGAAATTTGAAAATTAATGATTTTAAACTTTGTGAGACAAGTTAAGAATTTTTTTAAGACTATGATCAGTGATATTTGATTATGGTTTGTCTTTTCAAATTCAAAAGGTGTCTGAACATTCAACTGACTATAAAATTTATGTACACAGGACATAATGTGATGGTTGACGAGACAAGTAAATATAGTTTGGAAAATTTTAGATGTTGTATTTCATCATATTTATATTGTTAGTATTGTCCTATCTTAGAATTGCTTTTTTATTATTATTATTAACAACGCTCTCTTGCTCTTCATTATCATTTTTATTACTAGATTTATACATTGTTGCTTTTTCGTCTGATTCTCTAATGAGCAACAGGAATTCAAATAGTCATCTTATGTCTGAAGCTCTTCTTTCATGGACATCTTCTCAAAATCTTGGCCCTGAAAACATCAATGATCCAACATAGTAGGAATCTATATTCATTCTGCTATTGGCTTCCACTCCAATTTTCTTTACCCGTCTTATTACCAAGTAACAGTTCTTTTTAATTACTATGGAGTAAAACTTGTAATCATATTTTTATCCCAACACTTTGGGTTGATACTGTCTTCAGGTACTTTGAAAATATATATATATATATATATATATATATATATATATATATAAATAGTGGAGGAAATGGGTATTATTGTGTAAATTTCTCAATAAGAAAAAGAACAAGGCAAAATAATGACAATATAATGCTAAGCAGCTACAGGACATTAACAAAGTAAAGTTTGTAAAATCACACCCAAAAGGGATACAGTCAAGTGATTATAGAATTCAAGGCAAGGAAAAAATGTGTAAGACCAAGAATTGTCCATTTTTATTGTTTAGAAAGAAATCCCAAGCATACATCTGTAGGATTTGTGCATAAATTTGAGGGTATTTTCTTGTTTGTTTAGCAGACTATATATATATATATATATATATATATATATATATATATATATATAATTTCTGAGATAGTAAAAACAAAGATGTCTTGAATTAAGAGGAATGGATAGATAAATGTGGACAATAGTGTACCATGTTTAATCATTATTTAAATTGCTTTCATATATTTTTTTTTTTTTTTTCTTTTGGGTTAGGTTAAGTTCCTATTTTGTGTGTGAGAAGAACATTATTCAAGAATAAGCAGAGAAGTTCTATTACAAAATTGATTTTCTTTGATGTGGGTGTGGGGGGAGGTGCTCTAAAGAGTTTTAAGTGCAATACCAGAATAGTCAGTGTAAGAATCATAAGAGAAGCAGTCGGTACCTTTTTTTTTGTTTTATGCTTTTTCTTATAGATGTTGTCTTTGTGTTATGATGGCTGTTGGACAATGGTGTTATTGTGCATTTTTTTTAAACACACTGACATCCATTGTCTAGTGTTAAAGGAGTGTGGCTGTGCAATTGTTTCTAAAGTTAACCTATGAAAACGCCATGATCACAGCTTCTGAATGACGGTGGATGGAGCAACAACGAATCCACTCAGTACTGTGTGATCTGAAAGATCCTTCTGTAAGGGGTAATCCAAAAGAATGTCATTTCTGGTTTTCATGCTCCCCAAACTAATGATTTGGGATTATTGCCTTTTGTTGTGTTGTTTGAATTGAGATTCCTGTCATTCTGAGATGGAGATGTTGCATGAAGCCGTGACGGAAGCAAAAGAGTTTGGTCACTTGTGTTGTCTGCAGCTGCTGCTGCTGCTTTGAAATCTGCTTGAAATGTTTAGTAACACCCCCACCACTTGCTTACGACAGAATCTCCAAAATGAACCTGACTTACTATGGCCCCTTTGTATTTCAGAAGCAGAGAGACAGATACAGACAGACACAAGGACTTGCAGATTCAGCCCAAGTATGAGTTTTGGTAGCTCTCTCTCTCTCTTTTTTTTCTTTTCTCTCTCTCTCTCTCTCTTTTGTAACCCATAGTGTTAGTGGTACCCCTCTCTTTGGCTCTAATGTTGTGTGCTTGCTTGGAAAGAAAACCATCCCCCCCAACCCTTTTCTAAGTAAATGCTGCTTTTTTTTTTTTTCCTTTTTTTTATCATATTGCAAATAGGTCTTATTCAAAATGCTTGCTATTATTGATGTTTAAGGACAAATTAAATAAGTTTCATGACCAGATTTTCACCTGCCGTAGATAATGTCAGTTTTCTGCTCAAACTTGTAAATGGGATATTGTTCCACTTTTAAGAATTTCTTGTTTTTGATTTTTTAACATTATTAATGTGAGATCTTTTGACTACGCATTTGCAATATGAGGCATGTTGTTTTGTTTTTAATTCATTTTTGTGCTTTTTTGTATTTTAATTTTTTTTTGTACTTTCTTTACTTTAGTTAATTCATTTGTTGTTTTTCTTGTATTTTTGTTTTTTTGTTTGTTTTTTTGTTTTTGTTTTTTACCTTATTACCAACCACCCTTTGCCAGTATCTAAGGCTGTGTGGTATAACTTCAGCAATTTTAAGTTTTAGGTGCAAAATACTAGTATAACTCAGTCCCAAATTGCTTCTGGTTTGATTTCCATTGTCATAGAAATGGTTATAGTAAATCTTGTTCCCTTAAATCTACTGTTCCTTAGAATTAAAGGGTCTAGCCAAATTACAATTGGCATCCAAATTTATTTGAGTAGCTGAACTGAATATTAGAACTCCTCCTTAACTGGTAAAACAAAAAAATTAAAGATAAGATGCGCAGTAATCAAATATTGAATGGATTCATTTAATCTCCACTCCAAAAAAGAACTTATCGGAAATCTGTGTATTAGTTGCTTTAACTAAGCCTCTTTTTCATTCTCTGCTGTAGCAACTTTTATGATAGATGGAAATTGATTCTACCAATCCAAAATAGATTAGTTTTTTTGTTGTTGTTTTTTTTTTTTTTCTGCACTAAATGTGAAAAGGCTTTTGAATATCCTCAAATGTTTTTGTTAAATATTTACTTTTATTTGCTAATTTGTCTTTGTTTATCATGTATACTGATGTGATAATACAGTTATTTATGTATTTTTTGTTATTATTGAGCAAAATAAAAATATGAAAGTTGTCTGGCAATTTCAAGAACAATGAGTTAGCTGTAAAAATCATATCTTCTGAATTTGAATCATATAGGGAAGATTTTTTTATATCATTTCTTTCTATTTAACACAACCATATATGTATATCTTTTCAAATCTTAACATCTATATAAGTGCATGTGTCAATATTGACAATTCTGATATGGCCACATGCATTATTATTATTATTATTATTGCCTCCATCCAGCCAAGAACAGTAATAATTGAATGTATTTTGTATACAAAAGCGCGTACTGGAAATGGCTGTTTTTAAATTACTTTTTACAAAGGTTATTTTTGGTAAACAAATCTTATTAAACTCTCCAATAAATAATATGGTTTTAGCCTAATTTGAACTTGAAGGGTAATTGGGTTTCTTCAGTTTTGCTTATCAAACCCAAGTAGGATAATGAATTATTAATAAAAACCAAGGTTTTAATAAAGTTAAAATGTTTTATTGTCGTCAAACAAATAAAAAAAAATATCAAGTCAGTTGATTAATCAATATAGACTGATGGAAAATAAAATTGAAATGCTGTAAATGTTTCAGTATACACTTGATTAAACAGGTAAATAAAGAATAAATATAACCTGATTATAGTAAATGGTTCAATCTACAGATTGGCCAATGCATAGGTTCCAAAGAAAGAATCATCTAATCCTTGCTCAAACCCTATATTGATATGCTGTATATTCTCATTGGGCATTAGTAGTGTTTTTCCTCTCAGACATGTGATCTTGTAGATAGTGAATGCAATCTTACAATACATTTGTCAATATCTCTTTACTGCAAGAGATGTAAGTAGAGCAAATTGGGCATTGTTCTGTCTTTTAAGTGTTTCTTGAAAGGATAGATTTGGCAATTGTATTGGCTAGAGAAGTTATCAAACCTCTTGTACAGTATGTTGAGTAGTACAGACATAATGTAGGCAGGCATTATCTTGCTGCGCATCACTTTCCCATTATAGGAATGACAGCAAGATGGGTTTGACCATGCTCCAGGTGGACATGGCAGTGTTGAACGTTCTTTCTGCAAACACCAAAAGCAATTTAGTTTTAACAGTCAGCACCAATTACAACATAATGCTAGAGGTTGGTCCTGCATGTTACAGGCAAATACATTCAAAAGGATGTTATTCCCCAGGTCTGTAGTACACCTAGAAAGGACTATCACTAGTATGAAGGTATAATCTATCTTCCTCACTGAATACTATAGGTGACCCTCTTGTGGCACTGCTGATGATAAAAATGATATTGTTGTATATTTGATACACTTGAGAGAACATGTGCTTTGATTTGTTCTGTGGGTGCACTACAATTTGTCTCTGCTGTTCTTACGATGCATCTGTCTTGGTGTACATCTCTGACATAGTCATCTAAAGACTTAGTTTATGAGTCTAGAAATGTTTATTTGATTTCTGTTGTGCCATATCAAAGAACCTCCTGACACATGTTAATATGCACAGCAAAACTGAAATGGAAACCCCCCACCCCTCTCCAGAATGGCTCTAACTGAACAAGTGGAACATGTGTGCATTTCTTCCATGGTATGACACCTGCTTGTACTGAACTCTTTCACCTTGCTGGATCTTATCTCAGCATCCATCAACAGCTAAAGCTAAGACATTAACTGAGCTCAACTATGAGTGTTACTATCATCACAAGATTCCTGAAAGGTTTAAAGATTTTATTGAAATATATCTACATTCCCAGCATTCATCTACTGCAACATGCCAGTTGTAATTTTATTTTTTCATCAGAGCAAAATAAGCCAAGGACATGGTCTAAAACATTTGAATTAAATTTGATTCTGAATTATTTTCTCCAAGGCTGATTTCAGGTAAAAAATGTTAAATTCATTTTGGTAATGTGGTTCTAATTTCAATGTAAATCAATGAATATTAATAAAAATTGAAGGCCATTTGATCTGAAATTTATATATATATATGAAAAATGTCTTGGGCTTGAATTTTTATGAATATTATTGGTTTAATTAGTAAAATTAGTCAGTGCTTGTAATTTTCTTCTCGTAATCTCTAAGTGAAGGTCTATCCAGGGAAGGTTATTATTATATAAACCTATTGTAACTTGAATTTATCCACATAAACAGGTTTTAGAAAATTTTTCATGTTGATTATACTCTTACCAAGTGTTTGCTTTTAACTTTTCAAATATTTTGCAAAAATTCAACTTACCTTAATCAGAAATTGATGTTCGTAAATTGTGATTCCTATTATTGACATTTTTTTTTTCTTTATAATGGATTCAGCTACTTGAACATTTTGAAGTGTAAAATTGAAATAAGTTATCCTGGATAATTTTCGTTCTAACAATAAATATTTACAAGAGTTTTATTTCTTTGGTAGAATCATATATTAAAAGGTGTTTAACATCCACCTTTGTCAATATTCAACTCAGTAGCCAAACTAACAGCTTGTGTGTGTGTTAGATTTTATTTTGCTTATTATCTTAACCAACTGAGCTGATGGTAAAATGGTTCATCATTATTTATAACAAACACATCATGCCAGTTTCAGCTTAAATTTACTAAAAATGTTGATGTTCTTTAATAATAATCTGTATTTTTCTGTTTAACTTCACAAAACCAGTTTCTTGAAATATTTTATTGCTAGCCAGTTCACATTTTTACACTTTTTGTTTTTTCTTAAAGCCAATTTTTATCTTGGTTAATGTTTTTCAATTTCTTCTTTTTTATTCTTATATGATTTCTGTTCAACAATTTTCAACATTGTCTTCCCATACGTTGTCCCTCTCTCTTTTGAGGCCATCTTAAAACCCATGGTGATCTTTATAAATCTGAAATTAATAATGCAAATACTTAATGCCTAACAAAACATATTGCTCAGTAAATTGCTGAAGTTTAACCCGTTTAAAGGCAAGCAGATTTTTTTTGTAGACAGTGGTCAATTAAAAAAAAAAAAATAGAATAGCAATCATTCAAAGGACTTCACCAACTTCAAGATTTTTAGATATGCCACTTCTCAGTCATATAAATTTATTTATTAGATTTTATTTACTTAGATTTATCTTGACTTGACAAGCAGTGTATCTGAATTTTGAATTTTTATTGATCTATTAGCTATATCTAAAATTAAAAAAATAAATGGATATTATACCATTTATTTAATATATATATATATATATATATATATATATATAGCTGGCCACTCATATTTGAGGATACCCATCTACTAGGGTGGCTAGCCAATCCCTATCACAGACACTCACTCAAGCACATTTGTGTTTGCTCAACACCCACAACCAACCTGTGGTTTATATTGTAACTATGCTGAGCGGACCTTAGTTACAGTTTCTGGGAGAGCATGTTTTCTAGTGTGATCAACAATCTGAACAAGGCCAGCATGCTCAAGCCCTCAGCCACGATAACTTGTGGCTTCATGCTAGCACAGCTATCAACAGACCCCAATAATTCCGTCTACCCAGTTTCACTCACAAGGCTCAGGTCAACCCCTGGTATGACTTCCAAAAGTAAACTTTCCAAAGATGCTGCATGTTGGGATAGACCTCGATTCATTCCAATAACAGGAAATCTCCTTCCTGACAAATCGACCATGGTGAGATTTGAACCTGGGTCTCATGGTGAGAAAGCAAACATTCTAACTACTCAGCCACATGCCCATATAAATATTTGTAATGAGAATCTGAAATTTGTATTATATATTTATCCTGAAAATATATCAAATTTTTTTTATTAAAAACAATTTCATTGTGAAAACATTGATTTGTATAATAAAATTTGTTTTCATGTTTATCTGATTTT